AAAAGATAAAGTCTTAATTTAAATAAATAAATAAGCGAACTAGATAGCTAGCTCTCCCCCAAAATACCCCTAGTCCTGCAAAAGAAAATCTAGCTGTTGTCTCAAAACTATTTACTAGATAATCCACTAATCTAAATATTTGCTTCTCAACTCTTTATTCAGTCTTTTACTACAGTAGTGAGTATAGAATCCTTCATTACTATTCTTTTTTCTCAGAATTTTCCTGGCTCTTACCTCATCTTAACTTTTTTTGTTTGTTTTTGTTTTGTTTTGTTTTTTTGCGTTACGTGGGCCTCTCACTGTTGTGGCCCCTCCCGTTGCGGAGCACAGGCTCCAGACGTGCAGGCTCAGCCGCCATGGCTCATGGGCCCAGCCGCTTCGCGGCATGTGGGATCTTCCCAGACTGGGGCACGAACCCGTGTCCCCTGCATTGGCAGGCGGACTCTCAACCACCGCGCCACCAGGGAAGCCCCATCTTAACTTTTAAAGATATACATGGTGAATTATTTTATCAGATCCCCACCCCCCCAAAAATTGTGTTGGTATTTGTTGATCGCACGAAAATATAGATGAATTTACACTTTGCAATATTGAATTTTATTGTCCAATTTTCTTCTTTCATTTGTTTTTTTAAAATTAATTAATTTTTGGCTGCGTTGGGTCTTCGTTGCTGTGTGCAGGCTTTCTCTAGTTGCGGCGAGAGGGGGCTACCCTTCATTGTGGTGCATGGGCTTCTCATTGAGGTGGCTTCTCTTGTTGTGGAGCATGGACTCTAGGCATGAGGGCTCAGTAGTTGTGGCTTGCGGGCTCTGGAGTGCAGGTTCAGTATTTGTGGCACACGGGCTTTGTTGTTCCACAGCATGTGGGATCTTCCTGGACCAGGGCTTGAACCTGTGTCCCCTGTATTGGCAGGTGGATTCTTAACCATTCTTAACCAGAAGGAAGTCCCTCTTCTTTCATTTGATTCTCAACAACTGTATTTTTCTTCATATGTCTTATTAATTTATTCACTGGTGTTTATTTTTGTGTTGCAGTGTAAATGGGATTTTTCCATTTTTATGTAATCTTGATTATCATTTGTTTGTAGGCAAACTATTGATTTTTAAATATTATTTCTTTAGCTAGCCACCCTAATTAGAAAATTTCAAATTAGTTTTCCAGGTGTTTCACTTTGATTTCCAGGTATACAATCATACTTTTCCAAACAGTGAAAATTTACTGACCCCGATATTTGTACTCTATTTTTCTTAACCTTCTGGCATTGACTAACATTTCCAGAATAATTTTTAATGATGCGGTGACAGCCCCCTGGTGTATTTTTTCTTACATTAATGAGATCATTTCTAGTGTTTAAATATTGTATATAATAATATATACTGGGTTGAGATAGTTATTCTTTTTAATATTTTAAGACAATATTCTCTCATTCTTGATTTACTAAAAGATTTTATTATAAATGGATGTTGAATTTTTTCTAAGCATTTTAATTAAATTGTAGCATAGAAAACTTTACAAACCATAGATGTACAATTCAATAAACTTTTACAAAGGGAATATAATTGCATGACCAGCACCCAGATCAAGATAAAGAACAGAAAGTATTCCAGAAGCCCCCCTAAAGGTAAATATTTTTCTGACTTTTGTCCATTTCTGAAATTTAAACAAATGGAATCACAGAATTACACAGTTGTTTCTGTCTTCTTTTACTCAATATTGTGTTTGTGAGATTCATCCATCCTGTTGCATATAGCAGCAGTTCATTCTTTTTACTGCTATATACTATTGCATCAATATGTGAATATACCACAAATTATTAATATATCCTACTGATAGTAGACATTTGTATTGTTTTGTATTTTGAGGGCCATGACAAATAATGCTACTATAAGCATTCTTGTACATTTCTTTTGGTAACTATATATTTTTTGCTAGGTAAGCGTGAACTTGTTATGTTCAGTTTTAGTGGATATTATCAAACAGTTTTCTGTAGTAGCAACACCAGTCTGCATCTCTACAAGCAGGACATCAGAGACCTAGTTGCTCTACAAAGTTTTTGAAGCAAATTGTTTTAAGCATTTTAGCCATTAGGGTAGAGCTGCAGAGGCATCTCATTGTGGTTTGAAGTTGTGTTTTTAATATGAAAATAAAATAACATTAAATATATCAATATTATATAACACTAATATTTAATTTGTGTTTCAATATGTATCGACTATTTGGATATTGCAGAGTGCCTGTTCAAGTTTTTTGCCCATTTTTAAATTGGAATGTCTGTTTTTTCTTAGCGATTTTCAAGTGTTCTTTAACACATTCAGGATGTGAATACTTTATCAGATATATAAGTGTATGTAGCAAATATCTTTCAGGAAAAAAAATGTTGTATGATGCTACAACTGAATCTCCTTGAGCATATCTGTTTGTTTATCTTCAATCTGTAGTAGTTCTCATCCAACAGTTGCTTCAGTAGAAGCTGCCTGCTCTGGATATTATTTTTATTATTCCTCAACCTGGCTGCTCAATCGCCAATTTTTCATTGCATGCTCAAGACTTTCTTCAGTTAGAAGCCCAGGTCCATCTTAAGCAGTGGAAAGCTTATGATAGGGGGTGGGGCAGACATTTTCAGCCCTTGGGATCAGGAGGTCGCCCAGTGGCAAACTGTCATAAGGCGCCCAGAGGCATCCCTTCTGCTCACTAGGCTGCATAATTCTGCAAAAAGTAGGAAGAACTCAGCCAGTTGCTCAGGAATCTCACAGCACTTCGAGGGTCAGGACCTCACCCCGTCTAGTTGCCTTCTTCTTGGAGATCTCTGTATGTTCACCAGCCAGACTTTCTCCATGAGCTAGAGCTTGCTGCTCACCTTGGGGTTCTCCTCTCCAACACTTCAGGTTCTACTCTGGGCACAGGAAACGAAGAAATGACCCCCCTTCCTCCCTTCCTCTCCCTCCCTCTTTCCTTTCTTTCCCTCTCCCCTTGTCCTCCTCCTGCCTTTCCCCCTCTCCCCTCCAAGGGCCAAGTCCTTGCTCAACCCCACGGCCTCTGACTGAGAACTCAAGCTTAGCCTCCGTGAGGAGCTCATCTGAAGCCGGCAGCAAGAAGCACACTTGGGCTGCCATTTTCCCAATCCCTATTCCTTGAGCTGCACACGTTAAGTACTCTCTGTTGGATCCTGAGTATGAAAAATAAAGTAACTTCCTCTCATTCGCACATGCCATTTAAACAATTTTCTTAAGTTTACATTGTCAGTATCTATGCTACTTAAATTATTCTCTGAAACCGTAACTCCCACAGCTACCGAAATAGCTTGAATGCTGACTGTGAGACCTTTCATATACTGCTTCCTCTTCCTGGCTTCTCTGCTTTGATTTATCTTTTGGTTGGATGGATCTGGTCTTTTTTGTTTCATTCAAAAATGAGCTCATGAATGCTGTATTCCCTCAGGTTGAAACTGTCTTCTGTTCCCTTACACATTCATGACAACCTAGATAAGAATACAAGTCTGGGGTCTTACTCTTGCCCTTGGAAATCTTGTTATTTCTCCACTACTAAGTGACAAATTGGATATTATCGTGGGGAACTCTGATTCCAGCCTCATTTCCCCTGATACATTACTTGTAGGTCTTTTTTTGTTTTTTCGTTTTTTTTGGCCTGAATGCCCGTACAAGTCATTGTTCACACCTAAAGTTGAGTGACTTAATGAGAATGTATTCAATATCTGAAGTATTCTAGGACATTCTCTGTCTTTTAAATCTCCAAACTGAAATCAAATTTATTTCAGGAAAAAAATTCTTATATCTGAATTATTTCTTTTTTTTAAATATGGAAGAAAGATTCCGTATACTCCCCATAGTTGTCTTTATTTTTATTAATTAATTAATTAATTTACGGCAACACAGCTTGGCTTGTGGGATCTTAGTTCTCCAACCAGGGATCGAACCCGGGCCCTCAGCTGTGAAAGTGCAGAATCCTAACCACTGGACAGCCAGGGAATCCCCCTGAATTATTTCTTCAGTTACCTTTTTCTGTTCTCTTCTTCAAAATTACCATTTTGCCTCGTACATTTATTCAAATATATGTACTATGCTATTCCAGGTACTTTGTATACTAATAGAGTATAGCAGAATTATAGTTAAATCCCCCGTGTCCATCTTTCATACCTATTTTTAGCAGTGTCAGATTATCCTTTGGTTGTCTTCACATCTCTGTTTTTTTTTTTTAATTATCTTCTATTTTCTTTCCTGCTCTCAGAGGCTCACTTTTCATGTCCTTATTATTCTCTCCTCTGTGACAGTTATATCATTCATATCTTTTTTTTCAATGGTATGGATCTCATTTATTTAAAACAGTATTTCTCACCTTTCTCAAACGAAGACTGCAAAAAATAAAAGAAGTGCTTTATTGAGCTGTCGTTAACCTGGGAGCAGTGCTGCTGCGTGTTCATTTATATCTTTTTGAACTTACTTTTCAGGACGTATTTCCTTTTTAGCCCCTGAGTGTGTCAAGTAGTATTTGTCACACATGTTCTACTTTTCCTGGAAAATCTATTTTCACGCAGGTTCTTCCTTTGCTTTTTGCTCTTCGTTATATTTGCTTTTTTCCTTTTGGGGAATAACATTCAGGTCCCACTTTTTGTCTTTTATCCTTATTACTGCTCTTTGCTGGTTACTGAAATGGGTCTAGCGCTGACTGTGAGCCCTTTCGCACACTAATGCCCCCTTCCTGAGTTCTCTGTTTTGATTTACTCGTTGTTCAGGAAGGGCTGTTGGGACGGGGCAGACACAGGGTCCCTGGCAGCTGAAGTCCACGTATGTGTTCAGAGCAACCCCCTCCTCCTGTTTTTACCAAATCTGCTCCATGTCTGTAGAGAGGGCATAACTCCTCTCCCCGGGAGGGGCAGGAATTGAAGACGCTCATAGTGAAATATTACTCGCAGATTACTTCTTTGTTCAAATGACCCAGGTCAGCAATTGCAAACTGGCTCATTGTTTTCTCTCTTTTTACAGGCCTGTCTCGCGCTTCTAGTCCATTTCTTGAGAGGAGAAAGTAAGTCTTGCAGTTAGGAAACTAAATGCCCCTTGGGATTTACCCCTTTTCCTGTGGCCTGCTTAAGACTCAAGCCCTTGTCTTCCTAAGTAAGGGATTATTCATTGGCTACTTTAGCAATTTGTTTCACTTACTTTTAGAGCCATCTACAGCCCGCTTGAGACGTAGAGAAGCATGCATCAACTCTTACATTACCCGTCAGGGTGGTCCAAGTGTCACTGCACACAACACGTAGTCTTCATCTTCTGTGGCTGGGTCCAAGCCACGTTTCATCAAAGGTGAAACTTTGCCCTCTGCTCTTCTTGTTGGTACTTGTGGGAGCCCTGGTAGAGGAGTCAAATAAACATAACTTTGCACTGTCGTCTTCTACCAGAAGTCTCAGGGGAAATTGCATTCTCATTATTTTTCTTTATTGTAGTCTTAAAAATTCCTGTTCTGATATTTCCGTTTTACTTTTTTGGTAAAGTTTTTTTGTACCTTCGCTAGATTTGTAGCACTCTCCAACACTACCCACACCCCACTCTCGCTTTCTGCCTGACAGTATCATGCTACCTGCAAATGACTTCTTCCTTTAAATAGCCTCAGCCTTGCCTTGCCTAGTACACAAGACCCCCTGAGGTCAATATGAATGGAGTGGCTATGAGGAAGTGATAACCTCTACTTCCTGTTCACTTTCTCACAGGCAGTTAAGCTTAAATGTGTGCTATAAAATCTCTTTAACCAACAAGCCCAACCATTTATCACTATAGTCTTAACTACCTCTGCTTTTGGATATCTTAACTCCCCAAAGGACTGTCAATTTAACCATAACTACCTAACAACTGCCAAGCGTCACTTTATGAGCTGCTGTTGAGAGTTTAGCTATTTAAGGCTGATTTTTAAAAATTTTTATTGGCACCTCATGGCATTTGCTTGATTTACTGTGCTGCAAATAACCACAAATTAGGAACATTTCTTTACTTTAAGGTGTAGGCAAAGATTAAAATGGATACTGAATCATCTTTTCTCCATATTATTAACTCCTTACTGGGTCACTCTTCCAAGTTTGCCCAACTGGAAAAGGTCAAATGTGGTCAGTTCTTGACGGAGACCTCTGTGGGTTCCCTAAGCCAGCAACTCTTTTCTTCCCCAGCCTGAGCTCCAAGCAGCTGTTTCTCCACCAGCCCCGGTGTCTTTTCTTAAGGCAAAGGCTTTGATGACATGAGTGGCTTCACACATCTCATCGAGGACCCTGTGTTTTTGGCAAAGGTATCCAAAGTGGGAAAAATTCAATGGTTAAAAAAGAGACATTGAACATTATTTAGCCATAAAAAGGAGTGAAATTCTGACACATGCTACAACACAGATGAACTTTGAAGACATTGAGTAGCGTAAGCCAAACACTGATGGACAAATATTGTATGCTTGCCCTTAAGGGACCTGGAATAAGTGAATCCATGGGGACAGAAAGTACATTATAGGTTAACCAGGGGCTGGGGGAAGGGCAATGGGGATTTACTGCTTAATGGTTGCGGAGTTTCTTTTTGGGGTGGTGAAGTTTTGGAACTAGACGGTGGTGATGGTTGTACAACATTGTGGACCCAATTAATGTCAACTGTGCATTTTAAAATGGTTTACATGACGTTTTAAAAAGACATATACTTCTTTAAAATGAGATGTGAGGACGTCATTTCAGGACACCCACCTCCTCCACACTCACCCCTTCTGCGGGGACCGGGAGCGTTCTGCCCTTCTCTTCACTCAGAGCTGAAGCCCCGGGCCTCTGTCTTGGCGGCTCTCTCTCCGTCGCCCTCTGCCCTTTCTCCCGTCCTGGCTCTCCCTCCGCAGAGGCCCCACCTGACTCCTCTCTTCCACCCTCCCCCTCTCTGAAGACTCTCTGCTCACTTCTGAGGCTGAGTGACCCTCCCTGCAGGAGTCCTCCGGCCATGGGAAGGCGGGTGTGACAATTCCAACCGAGGCCAGCCGAGATCTGACAAAACGCACTCACCCAATTCTGTACTGGAGCGAGGACCTTTGGGCAGAGGCCAGCACGGCTCCTGTCCCTCTGGAGCCACTCGTGAGCGGCGCGAGAGACGGAAAGGCACTCAGAGTGGCCGCCTCCTGAGTGTGGCCACGAAGAGCCACAGCCTCGGCCCTGCCGGCCCCCTGGGGACCCGGCCAAATCACTGGAGCCGGTGTTCCAAATCACCGAGTGCGCTGGTGACCAGTTTGACTTTTGCCCCAGCCCTAAATCCTTCAAGCCAGGGGTGCTAGTTTGCTGCGGTTTCACTGCCAGAAGCAGGGGCAGGTCCAGGCCCGTGGAAGGGCAGGGCCTCAGGAGCAGCCGCAGGGCACAGATCAGCCAAGACAAACAGTGCTCAACGAAGGACCTCTCCTCTTTCCAAACCACGATAGAGGCAGCGGCAGATGCTGCCGCAGAAGCCCAGGCCAGGGGTCAACTCTGCCGGAGTAGGAAAGACAGGAAGCCATCTCAAAGGCGCAGTGACAAGGACAAAGGTAGGTAGGGTGGGAGACCTGTGCAGAAGCCCAGGCACAACCGAAATCAGGGGGAAGTCCTCATTAATTCAAGAAAGTAGTCACCGAGTGAACTGATGCTTAGTGAATTTGCTTTTGGGTAACTGGAGTGTCTAGCCCAGCAATTCTCAGTTAGGACCAACGCTGGTTCTTATAAAGTTGATTTTCAGATTTCTCAAAAAACAGAATTTGTCACATAACCACAGCAGGAGAGAGATAATATGCCAAAATATTTATTAAATATTAAAGTTCTTTTACTTAGTGATGACCGGTAGGTCCCAGGGAACACAGGAAGTAGAGTTTTATTGCATACATCTGCTTACATTTAAGAGTCATCAGAGGGACTTTCGCAAGAGCAGGTGAAGGTGGCAAGAAGCGGCCGAGCTTCTGAGGCAGTGTGGCCGCTGGAGCCGCAAATGTGCAGGAGCATCAAGGAGGCTGTGTGTCAGCCTAAGAAAAACACCGTTAGGAAGGAGACCTGCCGCTGAAAGCTCCACCGTCATATATCACGCACCCCAAAGCCAAATACACTGGAAGGGTGTGTTTATCCAGTGTCTGGAATTTTCCAGACTTTTGCCATTGGCCAATGGAGAAACAGCCTCAGCTTCGAGCTGGCTCATTAAGACCTTTCAGAAAGGAGCCAGTGGATTTTAGCATCTCACCCCAGAGGGAAGGCTCCTGATCACATTAAACCAGAGCGGAGCTGACGGCTTCCTGCACTGCCCTCTCAGTTCAAAGCACAACAGCACTAAAGAACCTGGGATTACATTTCACTTTCTTTTCTGCCATTGTTGTGCCCCCAAATAGCCTACACAGCAGAGGCTGCTTCTCTAACTGGACGCCACTCTTCTCTTTCACGTTCTCACTTTTCTTTAATTGTTTGCCCATCCTCCTTTTCCTCCTTTTTCCTTGGCATTTTTGTCTCGGAGTTGAAGTCAGTGCTCTGGTGGTAAAAGCAAACATAACACACACACACTATGCAAAACCCCAGCAGCTCAAGTGTGAAAACTTCTTTCTGGAAACTCTGCCTTACTGTATCTGGATATCTTGTAGAATGAAAATGACAGGATCGTGTTGTGTTTTAATATGGTTTTACTGTTGAATCTACAGGGCTTAGATTGCACCCCCGTTGCTAGGTGGAGTCTCACTGGAAAGATGGAGCGATTCCTGGGCCAACTTCTTTGGGAAAGAAGCTTGAGCCTCAGAAAGGAAACTGGAACTAAGAGCGCGGACCCAGTTAGGTGTAGAAGAGGGCTCAGCTTTTCTTGGTCTGGTATCACAGGGTCTAATATCTAGGGGACCGCTCCTAAATGGTAGTTGCTAAACATAGCATTTTCAGACTGACACCTAGAAAAGAAAGTCTCAAAACAAGGCTGGATGTGATGCTCTGGTATCCCACATGTGGCTGTGACCTCTGGGTCACAAGCTCTACTTTGCAAAGCGAACAAACTGCCACTGCTTCCAGTATTTTCTACATTTATTTCCCTTTGGTTATCCCCAACCATGATTAGAGAATTCTTCTCAGGGAGTCAAGGAAAAAAATCTCTTTGCCAACGCTTAGGTCTGAATATCTTAAGGATTCAGTGAGTCCCGGAGGCTGCACGACCCTACAGAGGAAGGTCTATGGCAGGGGCAGACTTGGGGTTTCTCCCCGAGATGAGAGTCCCCTTCTGACAGTAACTTGGTTCATTATGGGAGTCAGTGTTTCTTTTGCCGCCTCCTGTGTCCAAGTCACTTAATGACCTCCTCCTTCTCCAGATATTTCCAGCCAGTTACTAATTTTTGCTCAATAGAGTAAACTCTGCCCCACAGAATCTGCAATTAGGGTATGTTGCCACTAAGTGGTGCAGTACTGCAACTTTTCCTGGAAACCAGTAGTTTTAAAACCCTGGTCCTGACCAGCTATGTCAAAAATGAACTGAGATCAATTTTTTTAAAAATACAGATTCTCAGGCCCTGTCCCAGACCTACTCAATAAAATCTCTGAGAACAGGATTCATGAATTTGTGTTTGTTTGTTTAACTGTTCTCAGGTGAATCTGATTCACAATTGGTCTTTAGAATTCCTGGCACAAACTATGACACACTTTCACATTTTGCTTAGAATCCAACTTCAAAAAAAAAATTTAACCAAGGCCCCTCCCCTTTATAATAAATTTTCCATCTTGCATTTACCAAAATATAAAACTTTTTATAAGTTTACAAAGCTGGCCTCTAAAACTACTTTCTCAGAATATTTCTTCCTTCTTTTCTCTTCGTTTTGAGAAATATTTTAAGCTTGTCTTCCATATTACCAACTTGATATCATTCCGGGAGAGGAATTCGGATCTTTCATTTAACCTTGTATTTCATAGCATTCTTCTTTTACCCCGTTCAGCTTTTTCGGGAAATCTTAGCTTGAGGACCGATTTCAGTCCTATTTCACAGGGTCCACATTTTCTTAAATTTTATAGAGAGTCTTGACTTCCTTTTTCTGCAATAAAGCTTTCGTAAAGTTAAGTTCCCTGTGCCTTTGGACTGCTGTGTTTTTCTTATCAGAGAGTTTCTTCCTAGGCCCGTATGAATCCGAGTTCAGTCAGGAGAACATAAGCATTCTGGACGTTTCGGACAGGGAAGCTACCGACGGAGCCTCGGCCCGGAGGTGACGGAGGAGGTGAGCGGTCACACAGGGAGGCTGCGGGGGAACCGGACGGAGAGGCGGGAGCGGCGGGGCGGGCGGAGGCCGGAGCACGGCCGTCCGGGGAAGCTGGGGCCTCGGCCGCCGGACTCCGGGGGGCGGGGCGGCGCCGGGGTACGTGGGGTGAGGGCGGGAGCGGCGTCCTGCGTGCTGGGGGCCCTCCGGGCCTGCGGTGCTTCCCCCGCTCCCACCCTCCGGCCTCTCGGCGGCACCTGCCGAGACCCAGCAGCGCCGGAGGCGGAGCTGGCGGCGGCGCGGGTCTGCGAGCGCCGCCTGCCCGTTCTTGGCCGCCCTGGTTTCCGTTCTCCTCTTTGGTGGACGGCGAGGGGCTGGCAGCTGTGTGCCATCCTGCCCAGGGCCGGGGCCAGAGGACTCGGGACGGGGCGCCCCTTCTGCGTGTGGCCAGCGCCCCTTGCCCGGGGGCCCAGAGGACGGTCGTGGACTTTGAGAGCCTCTCCGCTGGCTTCCTGCGAGGCCGCCGCCACCGGGGACGCCGGGCGGCTCGGAGGTCACGGTTCCCGCCCCGCTAGGAAGATGGGCGCGTAAGGAGGATAGAGGCGGGCGGCGTGGCCAGGCTGCTGCTGGACACGGAGGCCCAGGGGACGGCCGGCCTGTAAGGTGGAGGCCTGAGATCCGGAAAGAGCCAGGGGCAGCCTCGGGTCTGCATGGCGGCGGAGGAGCAGCAACGCGGGTGTCCCGAGAGGCCTGAGAGCTGTGGCACCAGGGCGTTCAGACGGTGCGCGAGGGAAACGGCCTCCATCGGTCGCAGGCCAGCCTCACAGGAGTGGTGGAGCAAGACACCCTCTGGCTACAGTAAATACAGTAGTTTAGAGACCCGAGACCCGTTGGAAGGTCAAGGCATCCTGTGCTGGGCGGGGCAAGAGGGGATGGAGAGAAATGGATGGTTCAGGAGAAACTGCAGCACCCTCTGGTTGACTGGGTGTGGTGTCAGGGAGAGAAGCCGAGAGGGCGATCCTGAGGGCTTTGTGGCTTGGGTGACAGGGAAGAATTAAAGGCGGACGGAGCTAGCGAACAGTGAATGCAAACCAGGCCAGTGGGATTAGGAGGGAAGGTCTGATTACTTCCCCCCCTCCCCCGCCCTTTTTTTTTTTTTTTAACTTAATGAGTTTGAGACGCTTGTGGAAAATCTGCTTAAACTATATGTTTCTGGAGTGCAGACATTACATACAAATTGTAAGAATGCTTGTGGATCTAGATGATTTTGAAGTTCCAACTAACAATATTTCATTACTCTATAAACCGCAATGTGTGATGCAAGGGGCAAATAATACTGAAGATGCTCTGTCTCTGCTTGGAAATGATTCCAGATCATGACAGTGACAGTTTTTATGACAGCATGCCTTGTGGTGACCTATTCAAAGTTCTACAGGTCTACAGATCCACCTAGCCTCAGAAGATCGATTTGAAACACATTGAAAGGGCAGCCGAAGCATCGGCCTGCACGCACAGAAGTCCCTCGTGGAACTGGCTGGTTCTCAGGAAGCTCTGGCTCCCATTGACCAAGTAGGACACACAAGTCTGTCTCTCTGAGCAAACATGGCCAAGTCAGGAACTGCAAAATTTGGTCTCTATCAAAAAAGTCCCCAGACAGCCTGAAACTCATTTCGAACCGTTTCAGGGAGGACACTTTCAAGGAACATGACTGGCCTCGCACAGCACATTTAAAATAACAACCTTCCATGAAGCTGTGAACACGAGGGAAAACATTTCTCCCAAATGTTTTAACCAACTTCCAACAGAGCATTGCCTTATGCAGCTGCCCTGGCTGAAACACTGCTTTCGTTCCATGAGGAGCTATGGGACCTCCTGCAGACAGAGGCAGGCTCCCAGGGCACGGCCCTTTGCAGCTTTTTTAGGAGCAAGATGGAGTGAGAATTCTCCACGTCATTTGTAATATTCTTTGGCTCTGTTTCAGTAAAACATGTACTAGAATGAAAAGAATGGTAAGATGAATATGGGTTTACTATTGAAATTCCATTCTTCCTTTAAAAAATTAATCATGAGCACTTACTAGATGCCAGGCACTGTTATGGGTACTGGTGATAAGAAGTTAACTGTAAGGTGTGTCTGTTCTCATGAAGCTCACATTCTGATGTGGAGAGAAAGAGAGTTAGCAAGAAACTACACATGAACAAGAGAATGTCAGCTTGTGCTGGGTTGTATGAAGACCTGCGTCGAGGGGTACGGAAGAAAGTGAGGGGCTGGGGCGTGTGTGCAATTGAAAGAGCAGTCAGCATTTCACTGAGGGGAGTATTTCATGATGTGAAAATTATATAAAGTTCAAAATTTAGCATCCATAAAGTTTCTGTGGAACTTGGCCATGTTTATGTGTTGTCTATTGCTCATCTGTGCTTATAACAGCAAAGTTGAGTCATTGCAATAGAGATAGTATAGCCTGTAGAGCCATTTTCACTTTACTTTTCTTTTTTAATATTTTTACCTTTACTGTGTGGTTCTTTACAGAAATAGTTTTCTAATCTGGTCTAGATTTAAGAAAACGAGAAGGCAATGTTTAGAATGCAGATACTGAAATGTTAAAATCAAGAGTGTTGTGTCTTTTAGTGTTATGTTATGAATAGCACAAAAACTGGGAAAAATATTCTCCCAGTATTCAAAAACTATTGTCCAATTCAACAAATAAATCTCTCACATCTTTACCAAACAAGTAAAGATCTGGCATACTTCTATGTTACTTCACTTTTTTCTTAATCGAGATAAACAAAATTATCAACTGACATTCATGATGTGAGTGATTTCTTTGCTGAATCAGACAGTAATCAAGCATTATTCCTGGCCTGATTTTATTGACACTATTGCTGGAAATAGTATAAAAACAGAGAGTGGAGGACTGACGTCAGGGAGGATGGTAGAGTAGGAATCTCCAGAAATCTCCTTCTCCACCCCACGACAATTGTCCTCTCCAAATCTGTCTGATGTAACTATTTTGGAACTCTTGAGTCCATTCAAAAGCTTTCAGCTTCCAGGGGAGGCTTGGCCTGTAAACTGAGGTTAATTTCAGTCAATGTCAGCTCTCAGTAGGGTGAGGGCTACCAAGGTCCCAGCCCCCAGCCCCATAGCAGGCAGCTGTGCCAACATTCCTGAAGTAGCTCCTGGGAACCAGAGTAGCCAAGAAGGACCTTGTCCCTCAGACATTGGGGGCCTGTGTTCTGATCTCTGATTGCTGTTTCTGATCGTAAAGTTGCAGACCCAGAAGTGGGCCACCACCGTTGCAAGACACATCCATTGACAGCAGTGTCTTCCAATGGATTTAAAGAAACAGAGCCTATTTCTCTCCCCTTCATTTTCTCCTTTTTCCCTTTTGGGAGCCTGACATTTAAGGATTAGGACATTTAAAAGCAACCACATGTGTGGGACAATTTATAAAGTCAGTACACATGCCCAAGGGAAAGACACAGGCTCAGAAAAAAATCTGAGGAGGTCTTAAGTTTATGCCTCAGGCTATTCCCAGGCAGAGATACCCTATGAGAATGTTTTTAAGCAAACCCTGGGGAAGCAGGAGAATCTTATTTCCAGAGTTACCACATTATAAAATTCAAATGTTCAGTTTTAAATAAAAAATTACAAGACACTCAAGGAAACAGGAAAATATGGCCCATTCAAGGGAAAAAATAAAGAAAATACCTATGAGGAAGATCAGATGGCTGACTTACCAGAAGAAGACTTTAAAACACTGTCTTAAAGATTCTCAAAGAGCTATAAACTAAGATATAGACAAATTCAAGAAACTGATGTACGAACAAAATGTAAATATCAAAGACATAGAAAACAAAAAACAAAACAAGAAGGATTTTGGAGCTGAAAATTGCAATAACTGAAATGAAAAATTCACTAGAGAGATTCAAAAGCGGATTTGAACAGGCAGGAGAAAGATAAGGGAATTTAAAGAAAAAACCCCCAAAATATCAAGTCTGAGAAACACAAAGAAAAGAGACTGAAGAAAAGTGAACAGAGCCCAAGGGATCTGCAGGATGTATCAAGCAGACTGACACATGCACTGTGGGAGTCTCATAAGGAGAAGAGAGAGAGGGGGGCAGAGAGATTATTTGAAGAAGTAATGGCCAAAAACTTCCTGAATATGATGCAAGATATGAATCTACAAACCCAAGAAGCTTGAAGCTGGATGAATTGCAGGTATGATAAACTTAAAAGAGACCCCCAGAGAGACACATTATAATCAAACTGTGAAAAGAGGAAGAGATTAATCTTGAAGATTCAAGAGAGAAGTGACTTGTAACATGCAAGGCATCCTCATAGATTTAAAAAGATAAATATTATACAAAGTTTCTTCTCCAGCCGTAATTAGATGAAATTAGAAATCACTAACAAAAGGAAAAGTGGAAAATTCACAAATATGTGGAAATTAAATAACACACTCTTAAACAACTAATGAGCCAAAGATGAAATAACCAGGGAAATAAGAAAATATTTAGAGATGAATGAAAACAAAATCACAACATATCAAAACTTATTGGATATAGCAAAAGCAGGGCTAAGAAGGAAATATATAGCTGTAAAAACTTACATTTAAAAAGAAGATTCCAAATCAACAACCTGATTTTATACCTTAAGCAACTAGAAAAGAACAAACTAAACCCAAAGCCAATGGAAGGAAGGAAATAATCAAGGTTAGAACAGAGATAAAATAGAGACTAGAAAAAAATAGAAAAAATTAACAAAACCAAATGTCTTTTTCATTGAAAAGATCAACAAAATTGATATAACTTTAACTAGAGGACTAATTACACAAAGAGATTAGGCTAAAAATACTAAAATCAGAAATTAAAGTGAGGATAATACTACTGATTCTACAGAAATAAAAAGAATTATAAGAAAGTACTATGAACAATTGTATGCCAACAAATTGGATAACCTAGATGAAATGGACAAATTCTTAAAAACACAGAACCTAACAAGACTAATTCAGGACACATAGAATATCTGCATAGACCTATAACATATAAGTATGGAAATAGAATCAGTAATCAAAATTTCCCAACATAGAAAAGCCCTGAACCAGATGCTTCACTAATGAATTATACCAAACGTTAAAAAAAAAAAAAAAAAAAAAAAAAAAAAAAAAGAACAACAATCCTTCTCAAATGCTTCCCAAACACTGAAGAGGCAGAAACACTTCCTAACTCATTCTATGAGGCCAGCATTACTCTGATACCAAACACAGACAAAGACACTACAGACAAAACAAAACAAAACAAAAAACTGCAGACCTATATCCCTGATGAGTACTAATGCAACAATCTTCAAAAATATACTAGCAAACCAAATCCAACAACATATTTTAAAAATTATACACCATGACTAAGTGGGATTTATTCCTGAGACATAAGGGTACTTAAACATCCAAAAATATCACACAGGTCAGAATGGCCATCATCAAAAATTCTACAAACAGTAAATGCTGGAGCAGGTTTGGAGAAAAGGAAACCCTCCTACATGGTTGGTGGGAATTTAAATTGGTGCAGCCACTATG